GGAGAGAGGCAGAAAGAAATTTTGAAAAAGGGATTGCAGACAAATGTAAAACAGAACCAGGTCTATTCTATAAATTCATAAACAACAAATTGCAGGTAAAGGATAATATTCAGAGGTTGAAAATGGGAAATAGATTCACGGAAAATGAAAAGGAAATGTGTGAAACACTAAACGAAAAGTTCCAAAGTGTGTTTGTACAAAATGAAATCTTTAGGGAACCAGATACAATAAGAATTCCAGAGAACAACATAGAGCACATAGAGGTGTCTAGAGACAAAGTGGAAAAAATGCTCAAGGAGCTCGGTAAGAACAAAGCAGCTGGCCCAGATGGCGTTTCACCATGGGTTCTGAGAGAATGTGCATCTGAGCTCAGCATTCCACTTCACCTGATCTTTCAGGCATCCCTGTGTACAGGAATCGTAGCAGACGTGTGGAAACAGGCTAACATAGTTCCAATCTACAAAAGTGGCAGCAGGGAAGACCCCCTCAATTATAGACCTGTATCATTGACAAGTGTAATAGTGAAAGTATTGGAAAAACTAATCAAAACTAAATGGGTAGAACACCTAGAGAGAAATGATATAATATCAGACAGACAGTATGGTTTTCGATCTGGAAGATCCTGTGTATCGAATTTACTCAGTTTCTATGATCGAGCCACAGAGATATTACAGGAAAGAGATGGTTGGGTTGACTGCATCTATCTGGACCTAAAAAAGGCTTTCGACAGAGTTCCACATAAGAGGTTGTTCTGGAAACTGGAAAATATTGGAGGGGTGACAGGTAAGCTTCTATCATGGATGAAAAATTTTCTGACTGATAGAAAAATGAGGGCAGTAATCAGAGGCACTGTATCGGAATGGAGAAATGTCACAAGTGGAGTACCACAGGGTTCAGTTCTTGCACCAGTGATGTTTATTGTGTACATAAATGACCTACCAGTTGGTATACAGAATTATATGAACATGTTTGCTGATGATGCTAAGATAATAGGAAGGATAAGAAATTTAGATGATTGTCATGCCCTTCAAGAAGACCTGGACAAAATAAGTAGATGGAGCACCACTTGGCAAATGGAATTTAATGTTAATAAATGTCATGTTATGGAATGTGGAATAGGAAAACATAGACCCCACACAACCTATATATTATGTGAGAAATCTTTAAAGAATTCTGATAAAGAAAGAGATCTAGGGGTGGTTCTAGATAGAAAACTATCACCTGAGGACCACATAAAGAATATTGTGCAAGGAGCCTATGCTATGCTTTCTAACTTCAGAATTGCATTTAAATACATGGATGGCGATATACTAAAGAAATTGTTCATGACTTTTGTTAGGCCAAAGCTAGAATATGCAGCTGTTGTGTGGTGCCCATATCTTAAGAAGCACATCAACGAACTGGAAAAGGTGCAAAGACATGCTACTAAGTGGCTCCCAGAACTGAAGGGTAAGAGCTACGAGGAGAGGTTAGAAGCATTAAACATGCCAAAACTAGAAGACAGAAGAAAAAGAGGTGATATGATCACTACATACAAAATAGTAACAGGAATTGATAAAATCGACAGGGAAGATTTCCTGAGACCTGGCACTTCAAACTTCAAGAACAAGAGGTCATAGATTTAAACTAGCTAAACACAGATGCCGAAGAAATATAAGAAAATTCACCTTCGCAAATAGAGTGGTAGACGGTTGGAACAAGTTAAGTGAGAAGGTGGTGGAGGCCAAGACCGTCAGTAGTTTCAAAGCGTTATATGACAAAGAGTGCTGGGAAGACGGGACACCACGAGCGTAGCTCTCATCCTGTAACTACACTTAGGTAATTACACTTAGGTAATTACTCGTGTTCCGAGGCACCACTGTACTGTATATGATATGTGCCATCCAGTCAGTTATGCCAAATCATACATATGAATGATTTGCACTCTGCATGGATTAAAAAATATAAACAAATGATAGAAAGTTAATGAAACTATCCACAAAGAAGGAAAACTGGGAACTTACCAGGGAGGGAGGAGCACCACAGGAAAGACTACGAAACAGAGACTCCGAGCCGTAACACATGACCTAAAGCCACATAAAGGGGTCCTGGGAGCCCAGGCACACTGACATGATATTTGTCTCTCAAATTTTTCCTTCATCATACTGTCAGTGTCTCAAATGTTTCCTTCATCATACTATCACAGCCACAAATGTTTCCTTCATCATACTATCACAGTCACAAATGTTTCCTTCATCATACTATCACAGTCACAAATGTTTCCTTCATCATACTATCACAGTCACAAATGTTTCCTTCATCATACTATCACAGTCACAAATGTTTCCTTCATCATACTATCACAGTCACAAATGTTTCTTTCATCATACTATCACAGTCACAAATGTTTCTTTCATCATACTATCAGTGTCACAAATATTTTCTTCATCTTTTCCTTTCTTTTCATGTTTCTTTCATATCACCTCTTTTTCTTTTACCTTCTATCTTTGGGCATATTTAACACCTCAAGCCTCTCCTCGTAATTCTTGTCTTTCAGTTCCAGAAGCCATTTCATAGCATGCCATTGCACCTTTTCCAGTTTATTGGTGTGCTTCTTGAGATATGGATACCATGTAACTGCTGTATATTTCAATTTTGGTCTCAGAAAAGTCATGAACAATTTCTATAGTACTGTACTGTATTTCACTATCCATATAATGAAAAGCAAGTCTGAGGTTGGAAAGGGACACATACGCTCCTCTCACAATGCTCTTTGTGTTCCTCTGGTGACAGCTCATGATCCAAAACCATCCCTTGATGTCATTCTTTATTAGAGTTCGTTAATTCCTTTCCACATAATTTATAAGTTGTGTCGTCTATTTTCTCCTATTCCACACTCCATCACATGGCATTTATTCACATTACAATCATCTGTGTCTTCTATCTTCCCCAGTATCTTAGCATCACCCGCAAACATGTTCATATAATTCTGTATTCCCTTTGGTAGATCGTTTATGTAGACGATGAACATTACTGGTGCAAGAACTGAACCCAGTGGTATTCCACTAGTAACACTCCTCCAAAGTTGCTGCCTTTGTTTTCTTCTCCGTTGTGATACCTGTGGTGCTCCCTCTTTCATGGTTTATCCCTTACTTTTTATGTGGTTAGGTAGCTTCAGGGAGCCACAAGGGGCTTCCCCCAGAAAACATTGTCATTTGCCTTCATTCCCTGTCTGGGCTTGTATTCAAAAATTCAAATTCAAATGTTTATGTTCACTTACGTCCTCTAATTACTCAACACAAAGCTGCTATTAGGACAATATCCAATTCTGGCCCCAGACATCACTCGGTACCCCTACTCAAATTTCTGAATATGTTAGACATTAAGTCACTGCACATTCTCTCATGTGTATTATACATATATAAAACGCTAAACTATAATGCCAATCCTGATCTGAAAAGCTTCATAGAAGGTTGTAACAGAACCCATGAGCACCACACCAGAAATAAATACAGTTTTGATATTCCTAGAGTACGACTTAATCAAACTAGAAATGCTCTACAAATCAAGGGGCCCAGAATGTGGAATGACCTTCCCAACCATGTTAAAGACTGTACCTCTCTCAACCAGTTTAAGTTAAAAACGAAGCTATACCTAATAAATTCCCTGTAACCTACCTTACCCCTCTGTTGTCAACCCATGTATGTTTTTTTTTTTTTTTTTTTTTGTTTTTCAAATCAATGCTGTTTGAATGTAATTTTCTGTAATAATTTGTAATTGTATTTGTGCTGCTTTTTCAACAATGTTCCCCCCTCTTTTACCTCTATTTTTATTTTTCTCAACACATTTTATTCTTTTTACCCATTAGTTTTAAGCTTTAGTCATTAATGTTTTTCCTGCCCGAAACGCTTTGCGTAATAGTGGCTTTAGGCATTGTATGTACTAGCTCTATCTATAAAGCCAACAAACTTTGTAAAATCTCTTTATGTATGTACCTTACCTAAATAAAAATTATTATTATTATTATTATTATTATTATGTTTATTCTGGTAAATTACATACATACAAGAGGTGATATAAAAATTGATAGATTTATAGATAGAGCTAATACATACAATGCCTAAAGCCACTATTACGCAAAGCGTTTCGGGCAGGAAAAACACTAAAGACAAACTTAATACTAATTGAGATTAAAGTATAAAATGTGTTGAGAAAAAATAAAAATAAAAAAGGAGGGAACATGGCAGAAAAACAGCAAAAATACAATTAGGTCAACAAACAGCATTGTTTAAAAATAACAGACATGGGTTGACAATATAGGGGTAAGGTAGGTTACAGGGAATTTATTAGGTAGTGCTTCGTTTTTATCTTAAACTGGTTGAGAGAGGTACAGTCTTTAACATGATTGGGAAGGTCATTCCGCATTCTGGGTGCCTTGATTTGTAGAGCATTTCTAGTTTGATTAAGTCGTACTCTTGGAATATCAAAACGGTATTTATTTCTGGTGTGGTGCTCATGGGTTCTGTTACAACCTTCAATGAAGCTTTTAAGGTCAGGATTGGCATTACAGTTCAGCGTTTTATATATATATAATACAAATGAGTGGATGTGCAGTGACTTAATATCTAACATATTCAGAGATTTGAGTAGGGGTACCGAGTGATGTCTGGGGCCAGAGTTGGATATTGTCCTAATAGCAGCTTTGTGTTGAGTAATTAGAGGATGTAAATGATTTTGGGTAGTAGAACCCCAAGCACATATACCATAGTTGAGATATACATATTAGTATACTTGAGATGTACATATTAGTATATTTAATGTGACTGGTGACATGCATTTGCTTAACTCGTGTTTGGGGTTGTGTGAAAGCACTAAAAGATAATGGTAGACAATATGAACTTTGTCTACAATATACAGATAATATAAAATGTATGTACAGTATGATTATGTTTAACATTATAATGTGCTAAGAAACAATCAGAAACAATAAAATCTTCTTAAAAATGTAAATTAAAACTTACAATTTCAGCCTCCTTATAAATCTGGGCTTGTGAACATGCCATCTCCACCAACTCCTCTACCCCATGATGGTTCATTGGAGTTCCTGCCGGTGTTTCAAAATAAACGCATTTAAATAATGTTGTAACTTATACATGGGTAGTGAAATAAATGTGCATAAATTAGTATTTACTTGAGAGCAAGCAAGGTAACAATATATATTTATTTTATATACAGCCTGTATATAAATAAATATATATTCAATATATATTGGCAAGCAGTTGGTATGGGACTACACGTGGCAAGCAATTGGTATGGGACTACACGTGGCAAGCAGTTGGTATGGGACTACACGTGGCAAGCAGTTGGTATGGGACTACACGTGCGTATCAACCCTGGCTAACACCTACATTGACCTCAGTGTTGCACAACCAGGTGGCGCTGCCACCCACAGGGAAGCAGCCAAATCCCGTAAGTACAGAGAACTGGATCACCACTACAATTTTGTCCCCATTGCTTCTGAGACACTCGGCGCCTGGGGTAAAAGTGCTACCATCAATTTTTTTGAAGGAACTGGGTTCTAGGCTCATTGAAACAACAAGGGACCCCTAGAGCTGCCAGCTTTCTTTTTCAGCGCCTCAGCATGGCGATACAGAGGGGAAATGCGCACTGCATTCAGGGTACCTGCCCGCCATCTGAGGAGCTGGAGGAACTCGACAACCTATGATAACCATCTTTGTACCCTATATGTAACTCCTTTTTTGTAACAAAGTTCAAATAAAACAAATAATATATGTGTGCATACAAAAGAATGGGGGTGGTAGGAGAAGTAATAATATTGGTGTTCAGTGAGAAACCACAAGGTCTCCTCTGAATATTTTTTATTTTCTTCTCCGAGGCTATGGGTCCCCACATTGGCACCAGAGGTGGTACCCTCACAAACTTCAATAGATATGTATATATTATACTATATATACGGGACTATACTTGTGTATCCACCCTGGCAACCCCATACATCAACCTCTCTGCTGGCCAAGCAGAAGCCGCGGCGACACAAAGAGAAAGATACAAGTCAACCAAGTACAGGGAATTAGATCACCGGTACAACTTCGTTTCAATAGGATCTGAGACCCTAGGCCCATGGGGAGAGAGTGCAAGAAGATTTCTTAAAGAACTTGGTTCCAGGCTCATGGACACCACAAGAGACCCCTAGAGCAGCAAGTTTTCTCTTTCAGCGCCTCAGTGTCGTGATCCAGAGGGGAAATGCCCGTTGCGTCCTCGGTTCCTGCCCGGCGTCGGAGGAGTTCGAGGAAATCTACAGCCTTTAGAAAACAAACTTCTCCTTATGTCCTCTTAATGTTCATTTTTTGTAAACAATCATATATGTAACTGTATAATCGTGTATAATAAAGTGTACAACATAAAAAAGGGGGGGTGGTAGAAGAAATGAACACTCGTACATATTCAGAGTTAAATGGCAAGTTTTTATCTTAATACTCTGTGTTCCCTTTTTTGAGGCTGTGGGTCCCTACAATTGCACCAGAGGTTATAACACACACACACACAGTGGAACCTCGGTTCTCGTATGCCCCTGTTCTCGTATTTTTCGGTACTCATACTCAATTTCTCCGAAAAATTTGATTCGGTACTCGGTGTTTGCCTCGGTGCTCGGAGTTTGTTCATACAAGTACGGGTCCACCATGAGAGCGTGGCGCTTCACTTCTTAGGGTGGATCGCCGTCGTGGGGGTCTGGGGCTTCCCCTTCCCCCTCCCATGGAACAGGGGAGGGGGGGTGCGCAGACAGCGGCATGGCGACATGATAACGTCATGTTCGTTTGCTAATTTGCTTGGGGAGTTCTGTCCACTCGTTCGGCTTTTGGCAGCAATAGTTTCACCAGAATAGGGGTTTGTTTTGGGGTGCCTACCTTTCTGGGTACCAGACCAGGTCGATGGCAGACGTAGAATGCTTCAACCACATGGGGATTTCTGTAGGCCATTGCTCCTCGTGCCTCTTTGAGGGGGCCAGGTTTTGGCTCGTGGTCCCCATTAGGCAAGAAGTCCATGTACTTTGACTGATGCCAGAAAGCTAATAGTTACATATCAGCCTGGATATCTCCGGGGAGCTGACGGGGCTCCCCCAGAAAGTATGTTGTGAGAACCAAAACTAGTCTGAATAACCGGAACTTTAAGAGCGCTTAGCAGGAATGAGTGTAATCATGATGTATTGGTGCATCACATTCAGGCAAAGTGACTGATGGTCAAGTCTGTCGGTATATTTAGTTAAAACTACTATTTACTGTTATGTTTCAATTTCTGCTGTTTCATTCAAAATGTAATTATTGTCATTCTTTTCTCTCTCACATCTTGCCCGAAACGCTGTACGTATTTGTGGTTTTAGGAATAGTATATATATTAGCTCTATCTAGAAATCCAACTTTCTGCTTGCATCTCATTTTGTATGTATGTATGTATGTATGTATGTACTTTTACCTATATAAAGTATTACTGTATTATTATTATTATTATTGAGAAAAAATTTGAAAAAATTATAGAATATTGAGATTTTCTCATTTATGCAATCAAAATAGTGTGATTACTGTGTATTATTATTATTATTATTATTATTATTATTATTATTATTATTATAAGAACTAGGGGATCAAGGAGCTGGGTGTGCAGTCATCAGGTGGTGTGCAGGTAGAACTAACGAGTGAACTGCTAAATGACCAAATGGTTAATTCACTTTTGGGTCTCATTTTCTGCCAGATTAAATTCAGTGAAGCTTTCCAGGTAAGTAACAACAAGGAGGCACCTTAAGAGCCCTCCAAGAAAAGCCAATATTTTTTTAAAATGACCAACAACAGATGCAACAGAATTTGAGGTGAAACAGAACGCGCTCACTCCCAATTAGTGTGCTGGAGTGAGATTACACTGTACAGTAAATACAAAAATACTGCACACAATAAAACTTACCTGGCAAAGCCTTAACATGAATCATCCCAATCACTGCACCTCTGGAGCAACGGAAAACTTCCCCAAATCTTGAGAGGGCCATTTTCTCCTATAAGAGGGATCAACCAATAATGTAATTACTCAAAATGACAATCAAAATAATAATTTATAATTCATTGTGTTGGAAGACTGGCAGCCAGTTTATACATATAGTACATGTTAGACTTATATCGTGGTCCCTCCCCAGGGTCAAATTACCGACCTTCCCCCCCCCCCCTCAGGATGCAATCCCACAACAAGCTAACTAACTTCTCCGTACCTATTTACTGCTAGGTGAATATATGCATTAGATGATAGGAAACACACCCAACCACTTCTGTCCTGCCCGCGATTCGAACCTGGAATTCTCGACTGTGAGTCAAGAAAGAATCCGACTGTACCACTGTGACCCTTAAACTATGGATCTGCTAGTTCCTGTTTGCCCTTTTTACTTTCTTCAAATTCATGTCTAATAGCACATTTTAAAATTCTCCTTCATAGCCCAAGATTATGTTCAACATTGACTTTCTGGGGGAGCCCCGTCGGCTCCCTGGAGCTTTACCAGGCTGATATGCTAATGTCAGACTTTGGCATCAGTCATGTGTATGGAGTTCTAGGGCCTACCGGGGACCACGGCCAGAACCTGGCCCCCTCAGAGAGGCAAGGGGAGCAATGGCCTATAGAAACCCCCATATGGTTGGAAGCATTCTATGTCTGCCATCGACTGGGTCAAGCATCCAGAAAGGTAAGCATTCCAAAACAAACCCCTATTCTGGTTAAAATTGCTACCTAAGCCGAACTAGTGGATAGAACTACCCAACAGAAAACAGGCAAACTAGTATGACGTCACACGTCACCGTGCGGCTGTCTGCGCAGCTCCCCCCTCCCTGGGAGGGGGAAGGGGGAGCCCCAGACCTCCCACACTGGCTATCCACCCATCAGTTCTTTGGCTGATGCTATAGGCATGTTGTGTGCTCCGGCTCCAGTAGTTGTTTCAGCACTGTACCTAGAGTGTGTTGTCTGTCTTCTAGGTGATGTGTGAGCCGGGAGTGAGTCTCCAGTACTCGGGACTGCTTACGTTCTGCCTCGCGGTCTCGCCTCCGGTTGGTGGTCGGGTGGCTTCGTGGTAGGTGTCCCACCTGCGTACTTCTTCTTGGCAGCAGTATGGGGTATTTTGGCGGTCCTTCCTTTTCCTCCTGTCCCTTCTTAAGTGGCTGCAGTTGTTAGCGTCGGCTTGGTTTTCTGGTGGGGGTTGGGGCCGTCGTCTTGCCACATACTGTTGCCTCTTTTCGTGTGGCGCTGGCGGAGCTGCTTCGGCTTGCTTTCGGTCTTGGTGTTGCTTCTGCACCGTTAGTAAGCTGTCTCGTGCGTTGTTTCACTTCCGGCCTGTTTGTGCGCCGCTTGCACCGTCCTGGTCTCTGGTCAGCGTGCTCTGTCTTCTCCTCGGTTGGTAGTGCCCCTTCAGTTCCGGTTTGTTTTTTCATCGGCTCTTTTTCCTTTTGGCATTTGCCTCTGGGGGTCGGGTCGTGGAGTTTCTTGCTCCTTCGGTTTTAGCGTTTTGGTTGTTCCGTGGCAGCAGTCTCCATTTTTTCTGGCACGGGGTGGGGGCCGCTGCATTCTGGAGGGGTCCTTGGTTTGTTGGTGTTTGGTTGGTCGGGCCGGGGATGTGTCGTGTTTTGTGTTCAGTGGCGGCCCTTCGCTGTTATTTGCGTGCCACGGCATCTGTGTCCGGGGCGCATTTTGCGTTGATCCGGTTCTGTTCTTCCCGGTTCGCGGGTGACGGTGTCCCAGGTTGTCAGCCGTGTGCTTGTGGCTAACCTGCCTGTGTTCTTCCCCCATGTCCGTGGCATTCGTGGCTTCGCTGCTCTTGCTGCCGTCTGAGCGACGTGTCCTTGCTGTCATTCGGGCATGGTTCTTTGGTGTTCGTACTGGGGCCTTGCTGCTCATTGTTCTAGTGTTGTTCCCAGGCTCTTTCAGGGCTGTGGCGCCTTGAGTTCGCGTTTGCTGCCGGTTGTCTCGCTTCTGTGTTGGGGTGTGTGGTGTCCGCCTCCAGGTTCCGTCCCTTTGACCTTCCTCTGTGGGTAGTTAGCTCCGGGGAGCCGACGGGGCTCCCCCCCAGAAAACCAGCGTTGAATGTAATGAAATGCCATTTTCTGGGTGAGACCCGGAGGCTCCCCGGCAACCCTCCCTCCCTCCGGTTGGCGGTTTTTCGCGTGTTTTGACATCCAGCCTCAGAACTGATGGGTGGATAGCCGGCGTGGGAGGTCTGGGGCTCCCCCTTCCCCCTCCCGGGGAGGGGGGAGCTGCGCAGACAGCGGCGCGGTGATGTGTGACATCATACTAGTTTGCTTGTTTTCTGTTGGGGAGTTCTATCCACTAGTTTGGCTTTAGGTAGCAATTTTAACCAGAATAGGTTTTTTTTTTTAATTCTTACCTTTCAGGATGCTTGACTCACTCGATAGCAGACATAGAATGCTTCCAACCACACAGGGGTTTCTATAGGCCATTGCTCCCCTTGCCTCTCTGAGGGGGGCCAGGTTCATGTCTGGTAAAGCTCCGGGGAGCCTCCGAGTCTCACCCAGAAAATGGCGTTTCATTACATTCAACTCTGGTTTTATTTACTTCGTTTGGCCAGGGCATGAACATGATCATATTCTTGAAACCCAATGTGTATGGTGAAAAACAACAGTAGTTTGTAGCGATCCCCTTGTTAAGTGTAATTTCCTAAGTGTAGTTATAGGATAAGAGCTACGCTTGTAGTGTCCCTTCTTCCCAGTACTCTGTCATATAACGCTTTGAAACTACTGAAGGCTTTGGCCTCTACCACCTTCTCACTTGACTTGTTTCAACCGTCTACCACTCTGCTTGCAAAATAAAATTTTCTAATTTTTTTTGGCACCTTTGTTTCCTTAGCTTGAGTCTATGATCTCTTGTTCTTGAGGTTGCTAGTTTCAGGAATTCCTCTTTGTCACTTTGGTAGATTCCCATTATTATTTTTAAGGGGGGATCATATCTCCTCTTTTTCTTCTAGCTTTGACATATTTATTGCCTTTAACTTCTCGTCATAACTTTGATTTTCAGGTTTGGAAGCCATTTTGTTGCATGCCTTTGCACCTTTTCCAGTTTATTTATGTGCTTCTTGAGATTTAAGCACCATACAACTGCTGTATATTCCAATTTTGGTCTCACAAAAGTCATGAATAATTTCTTTGGTATTTCATCACCCAAATAATTAAAAGCAATTTTGAAGCTGAAAAGTACAGCACAAGCTCCTTGCACAATGTCCTCTATGTGTTCCTCTGGTGACAGTTTACTATCCAGAACCCCCCTCCTCCCTAGATTTCTATTATATTTCTTGAATTCCTTTCCACATAATTTGTATGTTGTGTAGGATCTATTTTCTCCTATTCCACATTCCATAACATAGCATTTATTCACATTGAATTCCATTTGCCACATGGTGCTCCAAGCACTTATTTTATCTAGGTAAATTTCAGAGGCATGACAATTGTCTACATCTCTTCTCTTCCCTAGTTGTTTATCATCATCAGCAAACATGTTCATTTAATTCTGTATTCCTTCTGGTAGATCATTTATGTAGACGATAAACATTACTGGTGCAAGCACCCTATGGTACTCTGCTAGCAACACTCCTCCAGTCAAATACAATGTCTCTGATTACCACCCTCAGCTCATCAGAAAAATTTTCATTCATGTCCGTAGTCTTCCTGTCACCCCTCCAGCATGATCCAGTTTCCGAAAGAACCTCTCGTGTGGGACTTTTTTCTTTTTAGCAGTCTTTTTTTTTTTAAGGTCCAGATATGCAGTCAACCCAACTATCTCTTTACTGTAGAATCTCTGTGAGTTTATCATAAAAATTAAGTTGATTTGTTTCACAGGATCTTCCTGTTCATAAACCATACTGCCTGTCTATGTTATGTCATTACTCTCAAGCTGTTCTACCCATTTGGTTTTAATTTTTATTCTAGTGTTTTGGCTACCACTCTTGTTAATGATATGAGTCTGTAATTTAGAGGATCTTCTCAGCTATCATTTTTGAAGATTGGAACTAGAGTATGTTTGTCTTTTTTAAATACACTATCTGCTAAGATTCCTGTGGACAAAGATATCTGGAATATCAGTTGAAGTGGAATGCTTAACTCGGTTGCACATTCTCTCAGCACCCACAGTGAAACTCCATCTGGTCTAACAGTTTTATTTCTTCCTAGCCCCTTAACACTTTCGCGCACCGGGCGCGGGACCTCCCCACTACCCCAGGTGGGCTTGGGCGTTCCGCGGGAGCACGAGGGAGAGCGCGATAAATTCTGAAACGTGTATAAACTTTTCAACATTGTCAGCTCAATTCTCGTCCTAAGATATTCAATTTGGTATCAATATGTTCGCAATAGAATTTTCTACAGGACTAAATGCATATAAACTCCAAAAGCCCAGCTTACCATCCGCAACTAACAGAGAAAGTGAGAGAAAGTTACCCGGGAACGCACAAGAATGATAAAATGTTTACACTTTTTTTCAGTTTTGTCAACTCAATTCTCGTCCTAGGTCTTTCATTTTGGTATCAACGTGTTCGGAATAGAATCCCCAACAGGCCTATATGCATATAATATAAAAAACAACAGCGATATCTTCCCGCCGACATGATGAAAACAGGCCGCTGTTACAAGAAAGAGAGCGCTGCGCCGCCCCAAGGCGCTTCTCACTATGAAAAGTGAATAATCTTTTCAACTTTGTCATCTCAATTCTCGTCCTAGGTTTTTCAATTTGGTATCAATGTGTTCGCAATAGAATTCTCTACAGGACTAAATGCATATAAAGCCCAAAAACCCGGCAAGAAAGTGAGAAAGTGAGAGCGTGTTACCCGGGAGCGAGCCAGAGCAATAAAATGTGTACACTCTTCACTGTGGACATCTCAATTCTCGTCTTAAGTCTTTCATTTTGGTATCATTGTCTTCGCAATAGAATTCCCTACAGGAGTATGCAAATATAAAGTCCAAAAGCCCGGCATAGCACCCACAGCAAACAGATAAAGTGACGGAGTATAATCCCAGT